AAAGATATGTTGCTTTAGCTCTATGGGTCTACACACTTCCAGCTGTCAACACTGAACTTTGATTCCAACTTTGGCCAACTAACTCCACACAAAACGGCTTAGCCACTTGGGCATCCACGGAACCGCCGCCCAACTGGGTCCCAGCACCAACTCACTCCCCTACGACCCCACTGCTGGGTCAGCCATTGGGCTGGGGTCATGCCAATCACGGCTGCCTGGCGAATGAGCAGGGGGCGTCAGACCGGAAACCGGATATGGGTGGGAGGTCCAATAGGGGGCGCCGCGTTGGAACGCCCGAAGAGGTTGTGCTGCTGGGGTGGTTGGAAGTCGTTGGGGGGCGGGTGTATGGCGGCTAGGCCTGGAAGACCACGAGGACCGCTAGCGCCGTGGGGTCACCCTTCCTCATGCCACAGGTTGCCGAGCCTCGGGGGAGAGGTGGGGTCCCAGGGGCCAACCCTTGGGTGCGTTGATGGCGGCAGGCTAACCTAGCCAACGGGGTGCCGCTGCTGGGAGAGGCAAGGAGCAAGAAGATTTCCAGGGCTGGGAGGTAGAGGGCCAGGACTACGAGGAGAGGGCTTACTGCGAGCAGCAGCCCAGGATGGCTAAGGAGTTGAGGCCCCAGGGATGCTGAGCCTGCACAAGTGGAAGGTCAGTAGACATTGGGGTTGGAGCCCCAGGGAGAATGCGATGGGTGCTCCGAAGGGGTGGTTTGCTCTCGTCAGGCCTCGCGCTCACCCCCAAAGCACCATTTGTCGAGGAACGGGTTCAGGGTCTCTGTTCGACACCCTCATGGGTCTGTGGGACCCCTTTGTTCATTCTTTCTGGTATCATGATTCTTTGCCAGGGGAGCACATGCATCGAGGTGATTAAAAAAAAAAAAGGTTAGGCAAATACCAATTCCTCATCCTAGGGAGTAGAGCAGCATAAAAATGAAAGAAAAGACTTCCACTTGGGGGGACCTTGAAAGTCTTGGTGGAGAAAATGGCTTTTTATATGGGCCTCCAAGGAAGGATAGACGCCTTGGCTATGAATAGAAGGTAGCAGTGGGGGATGGGAGACGGTTTGCCCACCACGAACAAAGGAAATAATGGTAAGAAACATGGGGCGTGGCTGGGTAAACACAACTGGCCACCTTGGCTGGCTGTTCAGGAGCAGGGGGAGAAAAGTCAGGAGAAATTAGATAGAATCTCTCTGAGGATGGCATGGAGTATGAGAGCAAGCACTTTAAGGCTATTTTGGCAGGAAACAGGATGTTGAAAGTTTTTTGTTCTGCAAGTGAGGATTTGAGCCTACTTTTAGGAAAGGCAGAAGCAGCATGGAGGATGATCCTGATGGAGAGAGAACAAAGGAAAGGGGTTATGCACAAAGGAGATGTTTAAAGGAGAGACCTAGCACGGTGAAGGAAGCAGGAATGCTGAAGGATGACACTCAAGAGGGGTCCCAAAGGATCCTCCTGGAGCACCTCTTATTGCTAGAAAGACACAAAAAATGGAGGAGCCAAAGTGTGTCACCCAGATGGATGAAACACTGGGAGTTGGACAGGGAAGTCAGTGGGAGGGACTGGCAAGGTGGCAGTGCTGATTTGGTTTTAGACATGGCAGAGTTAAAGGAACTTTAAGCAGTTGGGATAGAGATTTTTGCAGGGAAATCTGAAATTTAGGGAGGGAAGGTCTGAAATTTAGAAAAAGATAAAGGTCACACATTCAAATTGGCAATCGTCCTTACAAAGATGAATTCATGGAGTCAGAAAATTCTTTAGGGGAGAAATACATTTGGTAACAGAATCTTGAACAATTGGTGCACTGGACAGGAAAAAGGGATACAGTCCAGGAGTGAGCAGGGAGGACTCAGAAGGGAGAGATGGGAGCACACCAGAGGAAGGGGTTTCAGAACCACTCAGCACATTTTATTTAGACTTGGTGTTTTAGCCTCTGCACTAGTGGTATTTGGGGCCAGGCAATTCTTTGTTGTGGTGACTGCCCTGTTCATTGTAGGATGTTGAGCAGCATCCCTAGCCTCTACCCACTAGATGCCAGTAGCATCCCCTTAGTTTTAACAACCAAAAATGTCTCCAGACTTTGCCAAATGTCCTCTGGGGGGCAAAATCTCCCCCAGTTGAAAATCACCACTATAAGCTGAGAAAGGACCCTTAGATTTGAATAGGAATTGCCTTAATCTAAAGGTAAATTAAGACCAGGAAGGATAAATCCCAGTATTTAACCCTGATATTCCCCCATTTTCCCACTCTTGTTATTTCTCTTGCTACCAGTCTCTGAAAAACCTAAGTCCTTTAGGTGAGTGGAGCTAGGAGTTGAAACATCAGTAGTGGGGTCAGGGACCCCAGAAGTGTGGCCAAATATTCGAGGAGTTGACCCACCTGTGGCACCTGAAAGGCCACAGGGACCTGAGGAATCCGGTATAGTAAGAGCTGGGGGTGGTCAGCTAGTGGGTTTACTGGGTCCACCTTGATTGGCCTGATTGGTTGGCTTGTCTGGTGATCCTCCTGAGGGCTGATAATTTTGCTAACTCAAGAGAGAAACAAGACCTTGATCTGGATGGAGATGGCCAGTGCTGGATGTTAGTGGGCAGTGTCATCTGGGGCCTAACCTTGCCAGGGACGTTTTTAGGATCTGCCATTATAATTGTATAATAGCAAAGTACCTTAAACATAGCTTTCCAATGCTGGATGGATTGCCATCGTGGGAAAAGATGAATATGTGATAGGACTGAGGAAGGAAAGTCTATTAATGTGTTCATGCAGCTAAGGAAGAGGAAGTCAGGAGAGGCTGGTGCCTGAGAAAAAGGCCGAGTTGGGATGGATAGAAGCTGTGTGCCAGGGTCCTGACCCCTGTCCTGAGGGGCTGTGTGCTGGAGTGCAGGGCTGCAGTGAGATGATGTGTCAAGTAAGGGACGACAGTATTGGCTGTCAAAACCCAGAGATGGGTTACTTGAAAATTGTGTATACTTGGCTACTTAAAAATAATAGCCTCTGCACTTGATGTACTAAGAAAGGGATGGGAAAAATTTCTCATGCTTCCATTAAACTCTGCATTTCTGAGGAAAGCCAAATGGCCCAGGTGCCACAGGTGGCAAACAGTGGCTTTTGGAAAATATGGAACCCCAAATGGAAAGAATGTATGTATTTCTTTACTGTTGACTCTCTGAACAGCACCATTACAGCCCCATTCCTTGGTAGCCCCACGTGATGCCCTGGGCTTCCCAAACTTAGTCTCTCACCTCTCTCTCTCATCTCTCACTATTGACGCTTTCATGGCACATGTATTCAACAAGTGATTGTGTTTCTACTTACATTCTGGGATTCTTACTCATTACCAAAAGCACAAGGCATATCTCAAGTTTTGGTAGCTACCTGTCAGCTTTCTGGGTTTATCCCTGTAGGCAACAAAGATAAAGCAAAGCAGAGAGAGGGAGGGGAGGTGAGCGAAAGGGAAGGGAACAGGAACCATGAACAACAGTATTTTTTTTTTGGTAGTCATTTTCCTTTTGGTCTGTGGCTTTGCAGGGAGGTGGGTGGT